CCCTGCCCCTGCCGGAGGACGATGCCTCGCTGCCGCCCGCAGCGGCCCCTTGTCCTTCCTCCATCGCACGCGTTTCGCCGGAAAAAACCACGGCGGCTCCGGCAGCCTCCCCTGCGCACACGCAGCCAGACGCAGGAGATGCCCGGGGATAAATAAAGATGTCGCTCTGCCCCGTGGCTGGGCAGCTCCGGGAGCACAAAAGGCGGCCGGGGCGTGCGGGGCTCTCGCCGAGCCGAGCCGACTCGTCCGGTGACAGCGCCGCGGCGAGCCCGCCGTGCCCTCACGCACACGCCGCCGCCCGGGACCGCCGCCCTCTTGGGTGCGCTGACACGTGCCGGCAGCCAGGTGGACGCGGCGGCTGCGCGAGTCCGCCAAGTTCGTGTCGCGGGCAGCCCCGAGGCAGCCGGGCCGACACTGCAAGTGTCTGCAAGCCCCCGGGGCAGGAGGCCGGGGCCGTGGTTGGGCACTCGAGGAAGACAGGCCTGGTGCTGGGCCCCGCAGCCCCCCGCAGCTACAGGTGCTCAGTGCTTCGCAGCATCCCGCCCCAGTTCGCACTTCGGGAAACGTTGGCTGGACGGAGCGCCCGGGACCCGCCCGCGAACGGCGAGGAAGGAAAGCGCCGAACTTCTGAACTGCAGACGTGTGTCGCTGCTCAGATCAGGGGAAACCAGGAACCCGGCCATTTTTTTAAGTTACCGTAACTAAATAGAATTCCCAACTTCCACAGGCCATAGATTGCATGGTAATCTTTTAATACAAAGTAAACCTAACATTTACTTTATTTTTACTGTGCAAGTGCAGTTTTTTAAAAAAAATAACGCGCTCTCTCGGCTGTCTGAACGTGGACTACGTTTCTGAATAACTCAAGTTATTTATTAGAATTTTTGTAGGAAAAGGAAACGGCAAATTTCAAGATACCTGTCGTTCTCTCTCATTTGTAAAATACGTATTTAGTGTCGAGAGCAGTATTACAGAAGTACGTATGACACCCCTTCAAAATATAACTGCTGTTGAGTAGAAGTCCTGATTGTGACAGCGAAAATGAAATTTCCACCAAATTTGGGCAGAAATGGAGGCTGTTACCCAAAATGTTTCAATCTTTGCTTGAAATAAAGTGAAACAGGTAAATGCAAGAAATTTCATTTCTAAATTCAAGAAAAAAGTCGTATCAAACAGATGCAGTTTGGCCTGATCTAATACTTTACTGTGTGAATTCTAACTTGTTATATATAAAGTTGCTTTAGAAAATGTTTCTGGTCTATATAGTACAGAAATCATGAGACATAAATAGAAAGCAGTAAGATCTGGTAGCAATTTCTTTTTTGCAGTAAGAGAAGAAAATGTGCATTGAGATTTGGCTATGCTATCCTTCTGTAGCTGTCAGAAAAGTTAGCTGCTTACAGCAGATATTCTTTTAGCTGATTGGGCATACCTTGTTAAGAGATTTCACTTAACAATTAACCCTCTGAAAGTTGTGGTTCCAGAGTCGGGGTTTTGGGGGCAAGATGAGCTTATGTTTTATCCAACTGGCCCACAAAGTCCCGCTTTTGGTGGTCACTTTGTTCTGCAAAAGAAACGTGTAGATTATGGCTCCCACAGTGGATAGTAAATT